AATTTTTCAAGAAAATAACATTATTAGTGTATGAAAAATTTAGACCTTGAGATGAATAATGGTAATTTAAATAAAATTAGTCACATGAAACAGAGGGATAATATTAATGAGTAGATTTCGAAACATATGGGGAGTTAAATATGTATTAAGTAGGTACATTATGAAAGTAGGCACCTAAATCAAAAAATAATATAAATATTAAATAGGTATATTATGAAAGTCGTATAAAAAAAATCATATTACAATACCTATACATATAGGTATAATCATATAAATATATTTTTATAATTTATTACCAAGTAAACAGATACATGAAATCGTCAAAAATAAATACAAGTAAAATTTGAAATACCTAATTGGTAAATTTTGAAAATTATTATTTTTTTTTTTTTATAATTGTATAACGTATTGTTAAATAATTATTAAATACTAAACATTATAAAGAAACGATGTTAAAAAAAAATATAAATACAATCAATTAATAATAGTATTAATAAACTTATAACATGTTTGTTTAGGAAAGTTTGTGTGTATTACTGTTAAGCTAAGTATGATAGTACCGATAGTTAGACATACCGTCTATGATGTAAAAACAAGATTAATGATTTTTAATAAATTAAAAGTAGATTGAAAAAAGAAAAAAATTACACATGACGTCGTTGTTGTAGAAAATACAATTGGTTGTCGTCCATTTGTCATAATATTTTGCGTCTTTACGTCATATAAATTTTTTTCTTATTAAGCATTAAAATATTTTATCTATGATTGTTACCATCTCTTGTAATTATATTAAAAATGTTTGTTAACACCATATTATAAATTTTCCTAATTCGACTACACCATAACCGTGTAGTTATAAACTTATAACTCTTAATCACGTCATAGAATTATTTGCTATAATTCATCTTCAATGTTAAATTGTTATTATCACTCAAATGTTTTGTTCATGAATATAATATTGTTGTTATAGTCGTAATTAATAAAATATTTTAGGCGAAGTACATATTGCGTAGCATTTGTCACTTGTTTCAATTGTCTGAAACTATAAATTAGGGTACAAAGAATTGTATAAATCGTGCTAGAAAATAAAATCGTTATATTAAGTATACCTATCAAAAAAATGTTATATTAAAACATTACGCTCGTAACTATCATTTGCAATATTAATATTTTTTTAATATATTTCATTGATGTTATAACTATTTTATATTTTTCTTAATTTTTTATTTGATCGAAAAAGAAAATAAACTAATTATTAAATACCTAATTAAAAATAAATAAAAACATGTGAAGTGTGATCTACGTTGTGCGACGCAGGTCTAGAAAAAAAGTCAAAATAAATTCAAAAAAGTCACTTGCGTTTTAATAATCATATAATATTATAGTGTAAGTATAATGTAATATTATATTCGATGAGCTCGTATAATAGGAAATGGTGTTAATAATATACAATATACATTATACATATTAAAATAATAATAATTAATAGACTGTGTTTTGTCTTTATGAGATTATAAATCGATAAATATTACATGGTCATCATAGTTCGTAATAATACTAAGATTTTCGACGTGTCTTAAAAATATTTGTGCTGATATATACATTACAATGTGTAGATAAAAAAACGCATATCTAACTGCAGAATAGGCCAGTGGACCGACCAGAAATTTCTGGATACTCTCGTCTACAAACTATAAATTATAAAATATATTTATTTTTTGAACCTATTACTATCAAATATTATTAATGCAATTCACATAACACCAATATTATTAAATGTTATCAGTTATCACTTAAGAGGACGTGGCCCATGTGAGTGTGTCCGTCTTACACAAGTACGATATAGCACATTTTTGTTCGACAGCCTTAATAGTGCTCTGTCAGTTTTGATATTAGAGTGAATTGACCTATTATCAAACTTTTACGTAAGAACATTATTCGTGTGTTGTTGTTGTTTTTTTTACGATATTTAAATTTTTTAAATTTAAGAACCTGTTACGGCGGTATGACGATTTTCGTGAACAATGTAGTCGCAGTACGCAGTACGCAAATATAGTAATAACATGTATATGCTTACGTATAATGAACCTTGAATAAGTTGGAATAACGTATTAATATAATACAGCCGTATGCTCATTGAGCGCTCTAGAGGGTATCAAAGTCGCCGAATACTTTTTACCCGTTTGACCCGTCGATAATAATAATATAAGTAATAATAATTTATTTTATAATATTCGTGCAGACATAATCGTCGTATGCACAATGTACAGCAGATATCCGGCAATGGTATTTTTTTTTTTTTGGAGGGGGGGAGGGGATTAATTGAATTGACTTTAGTACCGACTTTAATTATTGCTCAATACGTCACTAAAACCGTGGACTAACAGGCGTAAACATTGTACATATATTATTACATCTTTGCAGAATATTATTTATAATATAATTTAAAAACAAATTATCTATTTTTTTATCTAGATAAACGTATGTGTATTTTTATCTTTATCTAGATAAAAAAAAATTATATTATATTTTATCTTATCTATATAAATTTTGAATGAATTATCTGTTATCTTATCCAGATGATTTTTTGGTTATATTTTCCCAACACTGTCCGTGGTATAGTGTTGTTGATTTCGCACAGTGACTGAAAAAGGTCTTTGTCTTTTTTTCTACTGTTCGCCGAGCGCAACTATACCGTCCTTGCCACACCTGAGACGTGTGACCTGTCTATGTGACCGCCTGACCGCCATAATATATATATCGTACTTAACAAAATATTAATGTGATGCTATTGATTATGTTAAGTTTATTAAATAGGGCATGGATTTGGACTGTGGGGATTATTTAAAATTGCAAATTGCAAATTCACTTAAGAAAATATTCTGCAGAGGTGTCATGTAATAAAATAATTCAAAAACACAAATTTCAAACATTAATATTTATTATCCACTTTTTCCCTGTAGCCCCTTAAATACCTACGTAAACTTTTGTTTAAGATTCATTTAAAATCAAAATAATATAATATAGTGAAATCAAATGTATGAATTGTGTTTTGTTAAAATGATTGCAGAGGTAGTAAAAAAAATAAACTAAAAACTATATAAAACTAATCATTTTAATGAAATTTAACAAATTTCTAGATATTGTAAAATAAAATAATACAGTAAAAATAAATACAATATAATAATCAATAATTAACCTGTATATTTATTTGGTGTGCTTTAAGTTGCCTAACTCAGAAATCTCTATGATGTTTGTCATATGATATCGTGCAGAATATCCTTTGCCGAGTTAAATATCATCAGATTTTTATAATCTGATCGATCATTTGTCTAATGACTTCAAATCATATAAAACAAATTTCCATAAATATCAATATGTCTCTAGAAAATCATCAAGTATTTAGGGGCTTTTAAAAGAATCAACTTGTATAATATATTATTTTTAGGTAGGTCGTGGGTATTGTTAATGATTTCACGTGAGTATATTTACTATAATGAAATAATAATAATTATGATAAAATAATAAAATAAAATAATTCTGTTATTTTAGAACTTAAACATTTATCACAATACATTAATAATTTTTCTGTGTAGCTCTACCCATTCAATAATATTATACCTGGTCATGTGTCGGATATGCATGATAATTCGTGTTTTTTATATTATATTATAGGTATTTTATTTATATTTTGTCAGCCAACGACCATCAATACTGACCATATAGATTTTTAGTCGACAGTGCACGACTATGTAAGTACACCTCCATCATGATCGTTTGGAAAATTATTTCTAAAAATGAAATATCAGACATGAGACAAGTAGTTTTTTGTTATAAATATTTAAAGTTCAGATGAGCAGAGTTGTGGACCAACATTTTGTGAGGTAATCTTGCCGTTAAAACTTTAAAATTAACATATGTATAACTCAAACTACTCGTCAACAATTTGATTTTTATATAATATTGAAGTAGTACTCCTAAAAATATTATCCTCTGGAATAAGGAATACAAATGCATAGAATAATGAATGTTGTTATTAAAAACGATTGGTAACAAAATATTTGTTTTAGAATAATTACATTTTTAAACAATTTAAAATTATTTAGAAAACATTATTAAACATTAATAGTTTTTTAAATAATGAGTGTTTTAAGTTCAATATTGATTGCCCTGGTATTTCCTGAATATAACTAGAACATATTATATCCGTTGTAAAATAAAGTGGTGTATTGGCAAATGGAGCCCGCTACTCGATATTTTCCACTTCGAAGAAAATTTATGAACCATAAATATGTTTTAAAAAGTAACCATGAATTGTATATCATATACCTAGAGGGAATTAGGTAATTTTTAAATTTTATTTGCTTCTACTGTGATCGGCAAAGCGTTATGCAAAATCGGTTGTAAAATAAAAATATCTGTAAATACCCAGACCAAAAAAATATTAATTTAAAAAAAAATAGCAAATGTATAGTTTCATACGGTAACATAAATTATATTAAAGTCGACGTGCTATTCATAACGCGATTAAAATGCCAGTGAAATTTTAATTGAATGATAATATCAAAACATGGTATTGGAGCTGTACATTTAAAAACCACGTAGGACCCAACCGATTCGACGTTAATACGATTACCTATTACTGAAAATTTGATCTAAAATTTGCGTGTATACCTATATTATAATATAATACGTTGTTGTACATTATTTTATAATGCATTACGTGCAGCAGATCAAAGGTAATACATAGAGCTGTTTTTGTTTTCGCACATAATAAACAAACAATATTATTATTGAATGATGTACTAAACACTATTTATTTTCTGTGTTATTTGACACCCATGGTTTAACTTTTTTTTGAATATTAATATTCCAGTTGATATCTGGCAGTCATTCGAGCTAGTCGTTCTCCACTGTTATATTATTGAACTAGAACTTATAATACCATATTAGTTTTACTTACATTTGATTAGTTTAGTTTCAACGACCTACTCAAATCTATGGCCGAAGTCAAAGCAAATCAAAATAAATTGTTGTCAACGATTAAATCGCAGTCGGATGAACTTTCGGCGCTCTCGCGGAAAGTCGACGACCTTGTACTTCGTATAAACTTCTTATCAGCCGACAACGAGTCATTAAAATTAAGAACTAAAATTATTGAAGAAAAAATGACATCGTTTAAACAATCTGCAGCCGGCAGCATCTGCTGCAAGACCTACACCACTCAAGATCACACTACCAAATTGCAATTAAGTCTTCAAAGTGTTCTCGCACCAAAAATAATTAAAATCCAATCAAACATGGTCTAATCTCCAATTCTCCTTCGATCGTACCAAGATGCAACGGGATTTTAAGTCAAAGCTACGCCAAGAACTTCTCCAGCGTCGCTCAAATGGTGAAGATGATTTATTTATAAAATATTTTAAGGGTACTCCTTCGATATTTAAGCCAAGAAACTAATTACAGTCTCCCCTATCTCTTTTAACTGTTATTGTCAGAATGTTAGGGGCCTTAATACTAAATTACAAATTTTAACAACTATATAGCTTACCCATTTTCAATTATTTTGACGTTTTTATTATTACTGAGACCTGGTTGTATGGAAATGTTTTAAATTCTCAACTCAGATTTTTTAATTATTCAATTTATAGACAAGATAGAAATCCTTCTAATAGTAGTTGTCTTTGTGGTGGTGGTGTATTAATTGCTGTATCAAATAAATATACCTCTAATGTTTTAAATATCGATAATAATGATTTGGAATTATGTCTGGTACAGGTAAAAATTAATAGCACTACTAAAATAATTATAGGTTCCATTTATTTCCCCCCATGTTCCCCTGTTGCTTCTTAAGCTAATTTTTTTTTATATTATTGAATATTATATTACACTTTTACCTAACCAAGATCTTTGGTTATTTTAACCTATTAAATCTATAAACCTACTGTTAACACAGGTAACATCAATTTTGAATTTTTCATCTAAAGAAACTTTTTTCTTCAGAAAACTATTTATATTAAACTTGTATCAGATTAACCCCTTTCTAAATTCTAAAAATATTTCTCTTGATTTTATTTTTATCTAATTATTTATTCTGTAACCCAAGCAACTCTACATAGAGACCTTCTAATTTCCATTGATAAATATGATCCTAATAGCTTTCTATCGAACTCCCCTTAAATCCAGTTGAGTCCACCCTCTACTTTTGGGGAACTTATTTGAATTGAAAAAATAGTGACTACCACTCCATAATAGGTAACTCTTCTAGGTTCATTTAATTGCATTAATTTGTTTAATCTTAATCCTGATATAAATATTATAATTATTGAATTTATTCTTTATTACATTTTGTTATTAATCTTTAAAGACCTAAAAAAAATCAATTCCTCTCATAAATATCCTGTTTGGTTTTCAGATAATTTAAAATATTTATTAAAACAAAAAAACTATTGCTCGTGCTCTTTATAAATCATCGAATTCCCATTTAGACTACTTAAAATTGTCCACTCTCCGTGCTAATATAATAACCTAACCTAACCCTAAACGATTTTGGTTCTTTCAAAAATCTATTAAATTCACATCTGATTTTCCTGCCTCATTATCTTTTAATAACATAGATCATAGATGCTAATGAGCAGGCGGTAAGAGCATAGTCAATCTATTTGGCTCTTATTTCTCATCTACTTATAAATAACATTACTCATCTCTCTGCGAGTACCCATTTCCTGTCATTTCCTGAAACAATTTATGTTATTAATAACAAATTGTGTAATCAGTATTGTTGATATTTTTAATGAATTAGATAAATTAATAACCAAAACGTCGACTGGTCCTGACGGTATGATATCTGCCTTATTTCTGTATCTTTGTAGATTTGTCCTTACTCCACCCATAAATACAATTTGTATTAAATCAAAATTGCCTTTATTAAACCCCTTGAATAGATTTATTGTTGCTTATGCTGGAGATAATAACAATATAATTTAAAATTGTATTAATTATTATATATTAAATAACTTTAAAGTATATAATGGTATAAAGAGGTTTGAGTTTGCACTGCCACCCCTTCTTAAAAAATAACTCTAAGTTTTTTCAATTGATTTTTATATTTTATATTCTTATACGTAAACGTAAACTTAAATTGATTATTTATTTTAAATTATATTGGTATAATATTATTTGATTTACTTGCTTCAGGGTTGAAATTCTGATGTAATAAACTTATTTCAGATAAATATTTTTTTCTTTTACTTATATAAGTTATATGTTATAAGAAATAGTAACCGGCACCCGTTCCGCATCCGTAATATAATATACCTATATAGATAGGTACAAAATATAATCGGGTTTATAGATATGATATTGTTACTTTTACTTGTATTACTACATTACTACATGCTTTAAGGGCATTTGTATTTAATCTGGCAGATCAATATAGACACAATAGTTCACGGTCAGTGGTTGAGTCATGTGAAAGAAAAAAATTGAATTGGTGAACCAAACAGGGTACATAGTCAATCAATTATTTAGAGGTAGTGGGGTGGTTTTAAAGAAAGCCATTTTAGATGAGATTAATTTAATGGTACTAACCTTCTCTGCTATGCACTATATTTTACAGGTAAGGAAACGCATAATATTACCTTTTAGATTGTACCCAATTATAATACACCAATTATAGTGAATAATATAATACATTAATACTTATATATATTATTATATATTTATATTTTATCGTATTATACAATACTATTACTATTTAGGTCCCTACCTACATATCGCTAATTATTAGAGTTCGAAATCTAAAAACATTTACATACAAACATCATTATAGGTACATCGATAGTATTAATAACAGTTATGTATAAAATAAAATGATCAAAATTTTAAGATAATATTATGTTTACTTATATATGTATTCTTTGCAATTTATGTTTTAGTTGGAATTGCATATTATATAATATTAATAAACTTTAAGATATGAAGAATTTCCAATATGAATATACTTGGGTGTGGCACATCAAACTCAAATAAATCATTTTTTATAAAGAAATTAACGTTCCTTTAAACTTATATCATACAAATTCATAATTCAAAAAATTTACATTACGTAACAGTAATCAATACCTAGCGACCTAGATTTACATGAGTATTACGCAATAATAATTGTATCTCGATCATCCATGAATAATATAATACAATGATCGTCCAATTACGAACACATACCAATATTATATGGAAGAACACACTACAAGACAATTGCAGACATTGCGCCAATAAAGTGGGGATGATAAACTTCACTATGATTTATATACCTAACACCTACACCGAGAAGACCCTCTCGGAATACTAGGTTTCCTCTCAGAATGTACCTACTCTTTTCCTCTCGGCATACTCTCATTCCTCTGGGCATGCACACGTCTCTTCTTTTCATAATATACTCTACGGACACTCTAAGGACACTCTTCGGATCACTTGGATAATTCCGACGGATTCATTTTCGGACCAATTTATTGTTTCACGGCAGCACGATGTTTTGAAGCAGTATACTATGATACGGCCAGGAGGCTGTATTCAGTGACCACAAAGCACAATGTCCTACGTCCACGTAAAATTATTTTAACACACCTCCATACATTAATCACCACTCTTTTATTATTTAAAAGTTGAATTTATTTATTTCTATATTAAAAAACATACTATATTGCTTAGATTTAAACATCAGGTATGAATTTATATTGGTATATTCATCTTAATCTTTATAATCTAAAAAACACTTATGATATTTTCATAACTGCTTAAAATTGTCTCCTATATCCTTGATATACCATTTTTATCCAATCATAATATTTTTAACAAACTAAATAATAGGTATAAGGTAAATCAATAAACAATATATAATATGTTAGATACCAATTTAAGTAACATTTAAGATGGTTAAAATAGGCTAAAAATCGTATGATAATAACGAGCATTGACTAACACTAAAAAGATTAAAATTTATTATAATATACACATCGTTTGCAGCTAGTCGAGGTAAGTGATACACTTTTTACACCAATCCACTAATAATATAGTAGTGAAATAGAAACAAACTTATGATATAGCTTTATTATAAGTAATAATATTAACCAATGTTAATCAATTAACATCTTATTGTATTTTTTAATAACTATTAACACCCCCTCCCCCCAGCCATTTATCTCTTCTTTTGTTTCTAATCCATTACATTTGCATGATTCAAATAAAACTCATAAGTCAAATTCATTCAAACTAAATTTAAAAAACAATATATTTAGGAGTAGATTTTTTTACAAATATCTGAGTTTTAAAAACTATGAATTTTATGAGAAACCAAAAACTACATAATTTTGTGGTTAATGATTAATAATAATAATAATAATGATATCATTTTAGACAGAGTTTATGACAGTTGTTGTGTTTCCTAGATGATAAAGCATTTCCGACAGTAGGATATAATTATGTAAAGATATAAAAAATAATATTAATATTAAGTAGGTACATTATGAAAGTAGGTATATTAAAAAATAATAAAAATATTAAGTAGATATATTATGAAAGTCTTATAAAAAATAAATCATATTACAATACATATGCTGTATATTACGCATATTATGCATTATAGTTGCATGTGAACATTTTTTTATTATTTATTACCAAGTAAGCTTTTAATCGTCAATAATAAATTCAAGTAAAATTAGAAATACCTATTAGGTACATTATGAAAATCATTATTTTTTATATAATTGTATATAATGTATTATTAAATATTAAACATTGTCAATAAACAATGTTAAGAAAAAATTAGAAATACAATTAATTTATATTAGTATTAATAAGCTTCTAACATGTCTGTTTAGTTAAGATTGTGTGTTTGACGCTTTGATACGATACTATTTATTTTATTTTTATCTCGTTTAGGTGTTGGCCGCTTATGCTAAAAATATTAAAGATTTTTATATTTTTAAGAAACTAAAATAAGAAAAAAAATAGTGTAAATGATTTTAAAAATTCCATTCAAGCTAATTAAGTAGGATCGGCTAGAAAATTAAAGAGTATATAAAAGTATATAATTAACCAGTGATAAATATTGGTTAACACCTTCCTCCCCTAATTCCACCAATAACAAAAAAAAAAAAAAATTTTAAATTATAAATAAAATTACAGGTATGACGTCGTTGTTGTAGGAAATACAATTTGTTGTCGTCCATTTGTCATAATATTTTGCGACTTTACGTCATACAGATTTTTTTCTTATTAAACATTACAATATTTTATCTATGATTGTTACCTACTCTTGTAATTATATTAAAAATGTTTGTTAATATATAATATATTTATTTAAATTATAAATTTTCCTAATTCAACTACACCATAACCTTGTAATTATAACTTATAACTCTCAATCACGTCATAGAATTATCTGCTATAATTCATCTTCAATGTTAAATTATTATTATATTATGTTCACTCAAATGTTTTGTTCTTGGATATAATATTATAGCTCTAGTCGTAATTAATCAAATCTTTCAAGCCGCAAGTACATATTGCATAGCATTTGTCACTTGTTTCAATTGTTTGAAACTATAAATTGATAAGCAATGAAATGTATAAATCATACTAATAAATAAAATCAATGTAGACATACATACCTAACTGACGAATCCATCAAATTGTATGAGTCACAATATTATTGTTACTCTTCATTGTTTTGCTCGTCTATTATACCTAATATACATTTGACCCTATCAAATCATAACAATTTTTATATTAAATCAATACGCTCCTAACTATAATATTTATAGTATTAATATTTTATATTTTTATGAATACATTTCATAAATATTATAATTATTATACATTTTCCATAACTTTTTATTTGATTGAAAAATAAAATAAACTAACTACTTATCTAATTAAAACTAAATGAAAACATAGTATGACGCATGTACCCTACGTTTGTGCAAAGTAGCTCTAGATGAATAGTCAAATTAAATTCAAAAAGTCAAGTGTGTTTTAATATTAATATTATATTATTATATTACATTGTAATTATATGGTAATATTATATTCGACGAGTTTGTTGTTTGTATGATAGGAAATCGTCTTAATAATATACAATATACATTAAACATATAATAATAATAATTAATAGACTGTGTTCTGTCTTAATGAGATTATAAATCGATAAATCATAGTTCGTAATAATACGAAGATGTTCAAAGTGTCCAGCATTTAAACATTTTGAGCCTCGGTGCAAAAAAAAAAAATTGGCGAATTCGTGAGCGGCCTAACCACGGGAAATATGGGAGAAAGATCCTCATGAACCTTTTAGATTTTGAGCAAAGAAAAGAAAATTCGGTTTACAATCATGTGTGATTTTTTTTAAAAATATTATTTAATAATTTCATTAACCCTTCTTATCCCCAACCACCCTCAAAGATCCAATTGAGTATATGCCCTTGCGCCCTGCTTAATTCATCATTTAAGTTGTTTTAATTTTTTTTTTTTACATATTTAGGTACCTATACTTCATGGATCATATAAATATATTATTAATATGAACGTAATAAAAATAACATGGCCACCATAGTTTGTAATATGACAAAGATGTTCGACGTGTCGCAGAAACATTTGTGCTGTTATACATTACAACATGTAGATTGTAGGTAAAAAAAATACCATACCCAACTGTGGAATAGCTGGCCAGCTTACCAACCAGAATTTATTTATAAAATATATTTTTGTTTCGAACCCATTTATTATTATCAAATATTATTATTGCGATAGGTATTAGGTATACACAATAAAACCAAATAATAATGTTATCAGATATATCAGTTAAGAGGACGAGGTACCCGTACGTGTTTTCGTCTTATCATTGATTAGTTTCAAATACACAGCATGTATAATATTGTATAATTATTAAACTATTATAGGTACAGTATATTAATGGACCATGGTCTTATACACGTCGTACTATACGACATGACAAATTAGATACGTTATAATATCATCACAGTGTACAGTTGTGCGCTGTATGTGCATCTCCTTGTGTCGTTGTTCTCCACTTTTCATTGGTTGAGTTTGTTTTGTAAATATATTATATATCTACTTTTTATATATCATGTATGTATATGTTCGACAGCCAATGAGAAGTGGAGATCTACGATATAGGCGAAGTAAAGAGTGGAAAAACTGTGATGATGATACCTATCTGATTCGTCATGTGACACAACACATTTTCGTTCGACAGTCTCAACAGTACTCTGTCGGTTTCGGTATTAGAGTGAATTCGTTATCATTCCGAAAACGATTTGAGATTCCGGTGAGTCGGTGTGACAGCAACTACTGTTGGCAGTGACGTCCCGTCGTAAAGACTATGACGTCATTATAAATTGTCGGATGACGATTTTCGCGAACAAAGTCGTCGTCGAATCGAAGTACACAAATATTATACGTAATACTATATTATGCTCGCGTATAATGAACCTTGAAATAGTTGGAATAGTATGTGTAAATATAATATAGGCGCGCGTGTCATTGAGCGCACCAGCGGGTGTCAAAGTCACCGAATACTTTTTACGCGTCCGGCCTGTCGATAATAATAATATAAGTAATAATTATTTATTTCATAACAATCGTGCGGACGTAATCGTCGTAGCCCGTAGGTATATTGTTATAATATGCACAATGTACTGCAGCTGATATCCATCAGAGGTTTTTTTCTGTTGGGTAGTGGGGATTAATTGAATTGAATTTAATACCGACTTTAAATACTGATCGATAGGCCACGAAAACCGCTGATTAAAGGGCGTGAATATAGATCTTTGCAGAGCCTTCGAAAACGGCAGTTACGTGGACTCGTTGTAGGTAGTGTAATATAATAGTCATAGTATTGTAATATAGTAAATTATTGTAACCAAAATTCTAGTGATAAAGAATTTTTATTTCGTTTGTTCATATTTCGTCACGCTCAAACGTTTTCAAACTGGAAATAAGCGCGGGTTACACTGAATATAAATAATAAATATAAATACATGATATTGTTATGTATTTTACATGCAATACAGCTAGGGGGGTAAAAACAAAATGTCTATAAAATAAATATCGTACAAATATTTGCTGAACCGACGTTCAGTGCATTCACTACAATGGTGTGGCGCCGATCGACTATTTGGATTCCTCGTCCTCCGGGTTGGGAAACTTGGGTCTGCAGACCCGGTCGGGGCTCATCCGTTGACCTTCGGGACAACCTTTCAGCGGCACAGTGATGATGGCCCGATCTTGGGTGGTCGTCTCCAGCTTCGGTCTCGGTGAAGTCGTCACGGACGCGTTTGTCGACGACTGGTACGGATCCCGTCCGTCCGGTCGTTTGTCCGCCGTCGGTTTTGGCGGGCGCTTCCACTGCGGCTTAGATGGCTTCTGTGGCTGTGGCTGCGGAGGTCGCTGCGACCCTTGCTGTTTGTTGCGCGGAGTAGTCGGAGGACTCGTCGTAGGCGGTCGCGGCGACCAGTGTTTCCCGTACGTGTAGATCACCGGAAATTTCGGTAACTGCGGTTGCGGTAACTTGGTCAGTAGCGACGACGGAGCGGAGGCGGCGGTGTTGCCCGTACCGTGCCCGGTCCCGCCGTACACCGCGGCCGCACAGCCAAGCGAGATCGCCACGGCTATCGTCGCCACTGCCAACGGGTGGCGAGCGGATCCCGCACTATCCATGGCCGCCGACCGTCCGTATATTATTGTGTATCACTGATAAACCGATTATTAAATACGCAGTGGATTTCACGGGATTAGGAGTACTATCCGCTCTCGAGACAGGTACGTGTTACACTGTTCGTGGTACAGCGTGGTGTTGATTTCGCGCAGTGACAGAAAAAGGTCTTTGTCTTTTCTCCTACTCTTCCGAGCGCGACCATACAGTCCGTCCCTCCACCTGAGGCCTGCTGCATCGTGTCACGCCGCCACCATATCGTATACCTAACAATATTAATGTGATTATATTGGTAGCCATTGTATACATCACGCGCGTGTATATAGAGCGAGTGCGAACCGTACGCGAAAAATGAAAAAATTCCAAGGCGATAGCCGACCCATACAGTCCACCACTGCTGCAGCTGGTATTTGGCCTGTTATTATTATGCGCATGGTTCATTTAAATATTCGTTATATTGTTATGTACATTATACATTTATACATGTATACATATAATATGCGTAGAGTTTGTGGTTATCTATAAGAGTACCTATTGACCGGTCAACTGTCGTTGGCCTATATGATATGCGTATATCTTATACGAACATAGGAAAACGAACTCGCACCAGTCCTTATACAGGTTTGGAAATCTGTTTGACGCTCTAAATTATCTGCCAAATTATTTAGTGCTTTAATTCTGTACCTACCGTTATATTATGTTTGTTGGTCTACGACTAGGGTTATAATTCTGGGGGGGACTACAGCCCACCTAACAAAACTATTAATTTAAAATAACCCATAGACGGCTTACATCGAAATCAATAGGGAATATATTATTTATTGGGGCTGCTAAATCTTAGTCGGGGGGCTCCCCCCTTAGTTGCGCCACTGTCGTTTCCGTCGCTTTTGATCGTTTTCAGTGTGGTCATGCGTGTATATTTTATCTTATATATTATGTTGTTTATCTTGCGCAGTTTTCAAAATCCGTTATTTATCACCATCAATTTAACGTGAAGATAATTGATAACCAGCTGTGTTATAATGTGTAAGGACTTAATGCAATTCACTCGGCCCGATAAATTATCACTCTTAATTTGGTGCAGCACCTTCCCTTCCTTCTACCACCGAGTTTAGAACTTTGAGAGAAATCGTTTTTTCACATGCGATACTTTTGATCCAATGGACGGAGAGAGTTGATCATAACGCCTTTTGCTTCGGGCCTTATACTTCGCAGTGCGCGGAAGTTTATCCAAAGGCTAAAATCGATCGAACATTATATCGAGTTCATAATATTATTGTCATTTACCGTATTAATAATAATTTATGGTATAAACATGACGTGATTCAAATGCGTTAATATATTGTGCCTAGTGGTAGGTATTTATAATAGTTAATTTTCCATGTTAATTGATTAGAGGGGGGGTGGGGGTTCATTTAAAATTTTCGATTCCAAATTGACTTTAAAAAAAATATTCTGAGTTTTCGTGTAGTAAAATAATAAAAAACACAAATTTCAAACATTAATTTATTATTCACCTTTTTCCTGAGGCCCCTTAAATGCCTACATAAACTTTGTCAAAGTTTCATCTAAAAACGTAATAATATTTAATAAAATAAAATTAATGAATGGGGTTTTGTTAAAATTATTGTAGATATATTTTATTCAAAAAATTAACTAAACACTATATAACTAATAATTTTAATGTAATTTAACCAATTTCTAGATATATTACAGAATAATAAATTACATTAAAAGTAAATACAATATAATAATATGTAATCTATACATTTATTTTGTGTGCTTTGAGTTGCCTAACTCTGAACTCTCTATGATGTTTGTCATATGAATATCGTTTAGAATATCCTTTGTAGAGTTAAATATCATCAGATTATCATAATCTGATCGATCATCCTATGTCATAATAGTTGGTGAATCACTTGCAAACTTAAGTTCATTGGTTAGAGAATACTCTTTTTTTAGTTTGCATTAAGACTATTCGAATGTTGATTTAACTGTTTAGTAAATACTAAATTATTGAAATCGAAGTAGTACACAATAGGAGTTACAGACACTCAAAGTTTTGTTAACTGTTTTAAATAATATACATAGACAATAAGAGATATAAAATTTGTTTTTTAATACATTCTAAGGCTTCAGCAACACAGGATTTTAGTGTACATTTGATAAAAATTTAGACACAAAAAAAATATATTTATGTACCTACATTACACTTTGGTTTAAATTTTGCTACATTATTTACAATGAATTGCTTAAGTTTATATTATGGAAAAATGTACTGATTGTAGCTGCGTTTTCATCTTTGAGAGCTTGGTGGAGTGAAACAGGATTTATAAGTATCCTGCTTACTCCGGTGTATTTGGGGCAGTCTGGGCAAATTATGACAAAGTGCTCTATTGTTGGAATTTCAGAATATTGTAGTTATAACTATGTTTATTTATGTGTACAATCAATATTGCCCATTTTTAAAAAATAAGTGAGACTTATTAGTTATTGTAGTTGGTACAATTACGGTCGCGTATATCTACATAAAAAGTAATTCGTTTGAACAAAATATCAAATTAACGGTGTGATTTTAAAATCTTAAATCAAAGTTTATTTTAAAAAGTAATTTATTTGTCATTAAAAATTAAAATAATGTGTTATTTATATTTTCTGGTACCGGATATAACTATAGCTAACGTCATTCTACGAAGTTTTATGGTAGTTTAAGATTATATTTTTTTGGATCAAATTTTTAGTAATTTATAATTCAGTTTACGAATTTAAATTAGTAAAATGCAAAGCCGGGCACTAACTAATTAGAAAGTTAAAGTTATGTTAGAAAGTTACTTTTTTAAGGAACTTTCTAACTTAACTAGTTAGTTTTAATTCATATTAACTTTGTAACTTAACTAGTTGAATTTCATGTGTAAAATAGTCTAATCTAACTCGTTAGAAAATACTAACCAGTTATTATTATTATTTTTTTTTCTTTCCAAAATAAATAAATATTTTAAATCTCATTGGATCTACTTGAATATATATTTTTTATTATGTGCTAGTTATGTTTGTGCTTTGTGTACTGATTAAGCTGTAATTTAGGCAACTTTATTAACTCCTTCACTGAGATAACATGTGATGGCAATATAAAATCATTTACATAACATTAAAATGAGAGTATTATTCCTTTTTAACATTTATATTTCAATAATTTGAGATTGAAATCAAAAATAAATTTAATACATAGTCGTACACATTTCATTGTAAAACCAATACATTTATCGCTCCGATCAAAGTCTATAAACGTTTCCAAAAAAAAAATATAACAAGATAATCTTCAATCTTGTAAGTTTCAGCATGTATAAACTAGCATGTGACTACAACTACAATCATTTAAAGTGGTATGTATAATCAAAAAAATGATTATATTATGTAGTATAGTAATATGAATAATGAATGTACAAAAGTACAATACGCATATATTTTCACATAACCTTAGCATTTTGAACGGCGCTTTGTGTAGGCAATTTAGGGGCATTCGCATGTTGAATGTAAATCGCTTGCATCATCTGGTGTTTGGAATGGCAAATGAACTCTATACAAAAACATTTTAAAAAACAAATAAAATACAGTATTATAATAAGTATAGTATAACATATGCATAGTTTAAATTATATTAAAACTAGTTTGGTTAAGTAGAATAATAGTGTAACATCAATATATTATACACCCACGACTATTGACAACTTAGAGAGTTAGAGCTATATATATTTCCTAATAACATAAATTAAATATAATTTATTATTTACTCAAGGATTTAAAATTTAAATACTATTTTTTGTTAGAAATAAATTTATATTAAAACTATATATGGATTTGTGTAACGAGCCTACAAACAAATATTTCATCCACAGGGCAGATGATGTCATATTTGACAAATATTGTTAACTTGCCCTTTATTGTTTACTGTGCCACTGAACCTTAAAACACTTTAGCTCACCTCATAATATTATGTGTCATTATGTATTAATAAAAATGTATGTTTATATTTTCACATTAGCCAACGTTTTTAGCATTAATACAATTCAATTTGCTAAGCCTCGTCCTAATAATACGATCCATCGTATTGTAATTTGTAAAATGAGTATTAAATAACGATGTCTTACGAATATTTGCAAGTCAGAAAATTACGGTTCGCCGAGATAAGCCTCAACTTTGTATTAATTATTTCATTTTATACAACGAGATGCTGGCTATATTGGATTAAACCGTTATTGCATAGTAATCTCAAAGTACCTTTGAAATTAATAACATAGTCCGCGATGAGTAAATAAATCCCGAAGGGGAAAGACGCAATAAGGCGGTCGGCGTATATATATATATTATACATAAATTGTAAAGAGTCCGTCTAAATATATCTATTCGTACACGTGTACTCCTGCCAATCAGAAAAAAAGACGGTTTCGAGATTTAAAATTACTGTACATTGAATACTCAAGTAAGGTTTTTGATGGGTATAGGTCATAACTAATTTTTCATCTTATATTTAATAATATAAACGAAAAGTAAAAAAAATCATAATTGATTTATATTATGATATATTATGAATAATTAATGCAGCTTGTACCTACACAATATATTATAATATTTAGTAAAAGTAAATCTTGCAAAAATGTAAAAAGATATTTTGTTTAGAAAATAAATCTGCAGTGCTACAATTTTATAATTTATGCCTATTCTAGATAAAAAACAAATTTTACAATATTTCATAAAATTGTTGAGCTTAATCCTTGAAACGTGTTCTGTTAATATTATGCCTGCCCGACTTGGGGAAAAAATATATTGAACGTATTAAGTATATGTAGATAGGTTAGATTATTAGTAAGGTTATTGTAGAACTATAGGATTTTGATTTTTGAAAAATTTACAATATAGCTTACGAACTTACAAATCGTTGTTTTTTTTTTTTGAATTATTGCATGGTATAGTTTTTTTTTTAGATCCTGAGTGAAAAGATGACGAT